TACAAGAGACCAATTTATTATTCAGCTAGCTACAAATAATCCAAAAATTAATAGCACGGGTATTGCATTACTCTTAGCATACATGTATCAAAAATCATTCCACCATCAGAGAAAATCTGAAAGTTCTTGAAAAGCTGAAAGAACCCGTTGGAAGTCCATTGCAAATTCTTCTTGACTTTCTTTCATTAGAGAGGCAAGTCTGTCATCTTCACCATCACACTGCTGGTGGTATTCCTCAGCTAATTGCAAAACATCTTGTGACTCTTTATCTTTTTGGCTCACCCTTTCAATACTTTTTTCAGAATTTGGAACCTCTTTGATACTTTTGTCTTTGATAATTTCTTTATGATGTGAGGCGCTGATACCCTGCCCATTATTTTGAACCTTTAGTCTGACAGGTTTCTCAGATGAATAGACTTCTTGTTTCAGTTTTTTTGCACATCTGTTGTTTTCTTTTCTGGTTTCCTTGTTATCTTTGCTTTCCTCTTGTTCCATATCTATATTTCTTTTGCTGGAGGAATATTGTTTTTCCTCATTTTTGGAAGGCATTTCTAATTTTGCTTTCATCTTTGTCTTATGCTGAATGCTTTCTTCAGGTTTCACGCTGGTGTTTTCAGCAGCTTCACTTTCTCTACTATCAGAGTCTGTATTTGGGTCCACTGTCTGTAATTTGTACTCAGGACACAAAATATTTTTTGGTATGTACAGGTATCTAATATTATTAGGTATATTGTAACTTATTGGATAGTGAAGCTTGAAAACCTGTGTTGCCTCATTTTTCTGAACCTGACACATAATTATCTTAGATTCAGGAAATTCACTAATGCTAATTACTTTGGCTTTTATTCTTAAAGTCTCGTCAACTTCGTCATGTCTAGATTCTTTTAATTTTTCACATTGTACACCATCTGAATATCCATTTTCCTGTTTCTTTGATGAAGTGTTGCTTTCTATTTGATCTTTTGCACCATAAACATTATCCTTTATTACATTACTCTCTACACAGGCTTTATGAGTATTACTTTTTGTAGTATCACACACAAAATCAGGGCATTCATACGCATTACTGATACTGATTTTATCCATAATCTTTTCTGCATTATTTTCCTTCTGTCCTTGGGATGATAATTCAACATCAAGTGAACTATTTTCCGGCTGAATCTTATTGGATTTCATTAAGATGGTATCGCTTGGGTCTGAAAAATCAAACACTTTCTCATCTTTCCTAGTGCACTGATGATTTTGACTTTTTAAACTACTTTCTGAATCAAACAAGGCAGATTGTATTATAGATGGCTGACACAGGTACACAAGGTTAATCTGGCTCTTGAAATTCTGATAGCCTCCATGACAGTATGTTTTTACCATGTACTGCCACTGTTCTTTACACTGGTCAGAGGATTTGTCAAAGCCATGAGCCTGCAGCTGTTGGGCAATATCTTCAGCTAAAGATTCCTCTGTTTGTATACTGCCTGATGACGTTCCTTCCCATCTGACAATGGTGTCCACTAATATCTCTAGTTCTTCGAGGGACCATTCACTGACCTAAAGGTACAAAATATTTTTGGTTAGTTGTGCAGACAATTTTGAAAATACATGTAGACTTTTAGCATGAGATTTTTGCTTTTCTCATATATTAAAGCCTGCCCTTATTTGATCATCAAGTGAATGAATCAATCAGTTCCAACTACCTTTTATGACCTTGATAGCCATTCAAGTTCCCTAATATTTTCTTCAGAGAAATTAATAAAACTAGATTAAGGGCCCTAATGTTTCTCTAAGAAGATTACAGTGCATGAAGTAGCCACTCAGAATCTGATTTAAATAATACAAATCTTGTAATTGCTCACTTCCTCATCACTAAAAAAATAATCATCTATCTCAAATGCATTCCAAATCACACTACATAACCTATCAATAACATATCCTACACCATTGGTACTTACAATTTCCCACTTTGGATAAGGAACACAATGGACCCCAAAAGCAACGACTGGATTAGTGCTATCAAGCCAGAGCCCATCTAAGTCCATTCCAAGTGGTCCTTCAACTCCTTGCTGGACACTCTCCATCTGAGCATGGTGAACCTGCACCAAATACTTCCATATCCTGTGCGAAAAAGAACAGAGGATGTAGAAAATTATATGTTTTATGTCTTATCTCTTCTAATATTCTTTTCCATTAGACAGAGAAAAGAAGGAAAAGTATAACTATGCTGAATAATAACACCTCCTAAGAATAAGACACAAAAGTAACAAAACACAAGAAAGACGAATTTGCCGCTAAGAATATCAATTCCCCATAGGACAACTAAACAATGATTCCTAAGCTATGCAAGGAAAAATCATCATATTTTAAGGACTCTTCACAGTATAAAACAGGAGATTATAGATATAACAATGAATGCTTTAAATACATTTAACAATCTCAAAACCACAAGACAGGAAAAAAAAGTATTGAGTAATATGCACATATGGTTACTTCTAAATAATACTCACTGTTGTATACTCAAGCTTCGATCAGAAGATTGGCAGTGGATGTCCACATACTGAGCTAAGGCCTGCAAGAGGGGAACACGTGGAACACTATGGCATGACAGATTCTTAATCTCCTTCATACCAGCTAGTAGCACCTCAATAAGTTCTTCCTCATCTATATCGGTGTTTCTTGTTTCACATGTGTCCTCTGAAGATAAGGAAGCAAAAAAATATAACTGTGAAGATATAATGCATTTTTCTGACTTTATAAACATATATGTGGAAAAAGCATTTTAAAAATTGGAATTGGGTAGCATATCAAAGAGAGTACAGAAGCTATTTATATCCTATAATTATAGTTCTTGATACGTATAATAAACATCTGAAACATATTTGCCCTATACTTAGTTTTCTATTTGTATTTCACAGATAACTTTCCCTATTCCCAAATGAAAAGTCTGCAATATAACAGTGTATATTCTTACTTCTAGATATTAGCATCCCTGTTGCTTGAACACTACAGCACTAAAGTTTTTCTTTAGAAAATATTATCAAGAACTGCATCATGATTCTTAAATATTCATTAATCAATTACCATTATAACTTGTCTTGCCAAAACCATATCCATTGTATGGCATTGCCATTAGCTTCTAAAAGGTTTATGTAGGATCAGTGAGGGCCTATTGGGCACCCTCAACAGGATGTGGTCCATTGTCTATATATAGGGGTTGTTTTTTATTTTACCCAGTTTTATCCAGGATCACCCAGTCTTTCCTGTTCAGGGACGTTCCACTGGGTGGGTTTTCCTTTGTGCTTGGCAAGACTTCATTGCTCTCCTACCACTTCTCCAGCTAGTGGGCTGCTGTCTGAGTTGATCTAGGCCCTCCATGGTCAGAAAACTTTTGCAAGACCTTAGTCTTCATCCTCTGTACCTTTCATTTTTTGAAATTGCTTCTTGTCAGACTTTTTGTGCATTTCTACATAGAATCTCCAACTGGCAAGTAGTTATTCTATGATGCAGAATATGGTGATATGCCTCACACTTTTGGCCATTTTCAGGGGAATTGCCCTGTGATTAACTGTGTCAATGGCAGCTGCAAGTTTGACAAAAACTGCTCCTGTAATTTGCTTTGTCTCAATTGGGTCAAGTTCAAAAATTACTGCAGCAAGATTGGCCTGGTCTGAAGCCAGCTTGGTCTGTTGTCAGTACTTCTTTAACAAGTGGTTGACTGTGTGCTACGATCATAAAATTTACAGAGGATACACAGAAGGGATATTGACCAATAACTTATTGATGAATCTCACTCATCTCCACATCTTCAAGATTTGACAGGATGATGCATTTGTTAAACAGAGAAAGTAGCCATGTTTTTCCCTCAGTGTACACTACATCTGTATTGTGCCATCACCTCCAGCTGCCTTGCCAGGTTTTAGGTGTTTAATGGCCACATTCTGATCTTCGATCGTGGAAATTTCAAGGTCTTCTTCACTGACTTGCATAATACAGTCCATATCCTGTTTAATTTCCTTAACCTAATCAGTCCAGAAGGCAAATTTACATTACATGCCTACACTGATATAAGTTCATTTATGGTCTTTACACATAAATGGCTCTTCAAGAGCTTAGTCACCAAGGAGTCAGTTATTAGTCCTACCTTTCTCACCTGATTACCCTTCACCTTTATTTTTGGAAAGCTGCTTTTGTACTATTTTACTGTCTTTAATGTTATTTATATATTAATAATAATTTTATCACTGTAATATGAATAAGAATAATAATAGTATTAATATTAATAGTATTTGAAAGAAGACCACATTTTCCCACTATTCAAAGAAATCGGGAAATCAGGTACGATCACTAGGGCCTATTGATTGACTCCTTAGTGGCTGACCGCATGTGGAGCCATCTGTAAGTAAGAAAAGAACTACAGGGAACAGCACATAAATCTGCAGTCATTGGGTTAGGGTTAACGTACCCCCCTCTTTTTATTACATAGCTTACCATGTAGCAGTAATTGGTTCACTACTTGTTTGGCAGTGACTACAACTGGACATACCGAGTCAGTGACCAAATCTCCTCCTAATCTGTCTTTCATTTACAAACGAGTTTCAGAAAGACCTAAAGAAAACATTTGCTTGACTATTTTACCGAGACTTAGACTTAACACTAACTCAATCAATTACCTACTCATAATGTTAAAGCCTTACCAATCAAAAGTAACGTAAACTCTTACCGGAGTAATATGAAGGAAGTTTGTCTCTGTACCCAAACAAGGAATGTATTTTGTAATAGAAGGAAGACTTCTGACGATCTCGGATGTTGCTGCGCTCATTGTGCTTGAAAGCTTCTTGATATTCGCGGTACAACTCTTTAAATCTCACATAGCAGGATTTCGCATCACGCTTAAATCCTCCAGCATACATCATCAGGCTAATCTGAAATAGGTTCAACTTTTTTTTAATATGATAAAGTCAGATAGGCTCTGCAAAATCCTTAAACATGTTTTGACAGTCATATAGTTT